TTTAGCTTTTGTACTGTCTTTGAGTTTCTTATTATATTCTGAATGTCAACCAGTCCTGCAAACTGTCTTACAGTCTTCCTTCTTGAAATAGGTTTTATTAGTTTGTAGGTTTCTAAGCTGTTCCACTTTGGATTTTGGTAAACTCATACAATTCAGGTTCCCCAGACAGTCCGTCGATTATAATCCCCTTCCACTAGGTGCTGTTTGTCACCCCATAATTAGTATGATGTTAGTATTGTCTGTTCATGTTGTTATCCTGGCATATTCAGAGATACATTTCCTAAAATGTAAATACTTTCTTCTAGTTGGTGAAGTAGAATTGCTACTTGCCAGTGAGGTTCTACTTTAAGTGTCCTTTCAGCTCTGGTTTGTTTTTGGGTTTTCTGAGTAGTGGTTTGTGCTTGGGTTGTTCCTTTTCTTTATTCAGGAAAGAATTACCCATTAAACATCATTGCATAAGCAAAAAATCTTATCCCTTATAAAAACACATCTCAAACCAGAAAAAGTTGTTGTTCTGCAAGCGCTTTGGCTTTTCTCTGGCCTTCCTTGAATGCATGAGGAGGACGTTAACTCCGTTCTGTTTAAACTGTTTTATCTGAGCTCTCTTTCTGTCGCTTAGCTTTAGGAAACTGAGAAGTTGATGTGAATGTCTTTACAGTATTCTGTCTTCGTTCTTGGTTTTGGAACTTGTGGCATTTCATAACAGCTTTGGCAATTTAGATTGGAGCTTATCCAGGAAGCTCAAAGTTAGCTGAAACTCCTTAGACCCTGAAGAGCATACGCAGAAGATGCTAGATGAGTTTAAGTGTGCATTTTAAACCAAAGGCAACTTGTAAGCAGCCCAGTAGGACAAGTACTAAAGGATCCTCTATTTCTGTTTTAGTGTCTAGTTTTATGCTGTGTATAGTCTTTCAATATCATACACAATCTGATAATCCTGATACATTTATCCCTCACACATGATAGATTTTAATGAATTTCTCTTATTTATTCACCTTCAGGTCACATGTATGTGTTAGTTAGTTATTCCAGGGACAGTTGTAGGCACGTGGCTGTAGGTTCGGAGTCTGCTCAGCACATAAAGAGAACCCTGTGTCTTGGCATGTCAAACTGCATGTGCTAATTAAACCTGACACCAGCTTTTTGATTTCTGGTTACTGTCATTGAGTGCTCAGAAGTAAACCCAACTGAGGCCTTGCAGAACCAGAATTCGAGAATCATCTGTCCTGTCTTACCATGTGGTTTTTATAATATGTATGTACTAAAGGAAAACATAGTAGCATCACAGGATAATTTGGGTTGGAGGGTATCTTGGAAGGTTTCTAGTTCAACCTCCTGCTCAAAGCAGGATCAACTCCAAGGTCAGAGGAGGCTGCTCAGGGCTTTACCCCATCTGGTATTGAAAAGAATGAAGACTACACAACCTCCTTTGGCAAACTGTTCCAGTGCATTTTCTGTATGATACCCAGGTGAAGAGAACAGAGGCTTCTATGCCAAGGTCAAGGAGGAGGACTGTGAGTGTTGAAGTGGTGGCCGGATTCATGGGGTAGAATATCAAAGCTCTGTCCCCTCTGGTACAGAATCAAGCACTCCTGGTCTAGCCCCACTTGTAAGCCAATATGAGTTTTTTAATATTTTTTAAATTATTTTTTATTACCAGTTCTCTCATTGGGAAAACTTAACTCTTCCACATTAGTCTTATTTAAGTCCATGAGATCACTTTGCTTTTGGGCTAAATACTGTAGATTCCTGTGGAACTAAGCGAACTGAATGTATGGGCTTGAATTCTGTGAATTACCGAAATCATAATTTTATGGTATCACTTAAACAATTTTTCTGCCTACTTACATGAGGGGAGAACCTAAACTACTGGGACTGCTTGTTTCTGTTTTGGGGGGGGGGGTGTCTGTAAATGTTAGTGGAAAGCAAATGTGAATGTTTTTGACTGTATTTTTCTGAAGTCTTAAGATACTAATGAGTTGGAAAAAACATCATCAGTGTCTCTTCCTAAGTATGGCAGACTTACACCCTCAGAGTAGCAAATACTATAATCTGATGTCCTCAATAAATAGTTTTTCCTGAGCTGAATTATTTTACATGCATGCTTACTTACTGGTAAGCTTCCTTTATGAGTAGAGAAGTGGATCATCATGAAGGATTTTTAGTAGTCCAGGGTTGCTGAGTCACTTTAAAATAAGTAAATCTCCAGTCTATTTCAAATATTATAGCTTAAGGTGGTATTTCTGATACCAAAGTTCTTTTTTTCCCAATGTACCTTTATTTCCAATACCAGTGCTTTGCACCTCAAAGATCTTCATGCACTCTTCAAGATTTGTGTGGCTGAAGTTGGCTTCAGCTCTCATCTTTGCTAAGGAGGAAGCAAACTAGCTATTTTTGGAGCCTTGGCACTGAAATGGATTGTATCCTGTTCCTCCTTGCTTGTTCTAATTTCATTAGCAATATTATCCAGCTTTTAGCCTGGCTCTTTGTGGAGTCATTTATCCTTAGTTCAGGAAGCCTATTTGTGAGACAGAGGGACTCCATTCCTTGTCTACCAATTTTTGTTGTATCAAGGTTAGCAAAGCGCTGCGACTCTGCAGAGGATCAAGGCACAAAACATGTTTCCAGAAATCCCTGGTGTTTATTAACAGCATGCACATGAATCCCCAGAATTCTGTGTCCTCTTTTGGTACCCATCTTTGATACAGCTAGGATTAAACTATTAATCTACCTTTCAAATGATGGCCATAATATATCCTGCAGGATCAGAAGCTTTAACCTTATTCTTACAAAAGTCTTACTAAGTTGATATCATGGCTAAACTGACTGCTCTTAAGCCTTTTCTTCCTTTTGACAGAAGCAGTAAGGGCAAGAGGGTATCAAGGTGATTGAATTCACTGATTTGCACAAGCAAACTGGCCTTTGGACCTCTCTCTTCTCAGAAAGCAAAATAACAGAAGTCTTGGATGTAGATCTTCCCAAGGACTGTGCAGTTTTCCAGTGAGTGAATTGAGTGGTTTTGAGCAAGACAGCTTGTATTTCAAAAATAATACTACTTTCTTTTTGAACCCTCCAGGTTTGTGCTGTGCAGGGACATACTGTTTCAAGCGTAGATGTTTGGAGAGTTCCTCTATTTGTGTCTCTTTGGGAACTGTATAAACAATGCAACTGCTCCCTGAGAAGTAAAACCTGTAGATCAGCATCAATCAAATTGAAATAGCTCAGATACCACTCAGATATTTTTAGTCTGGTGAAACTGTCTAGGCTTTACCAACATAAAACCTTGTGGTGCTGGCCCTTGAGCCTCTGATGATAGTCACCAGTCCAGTTTGCCAGGTCTTGTACTTTTACATGCCTCAAAGCCTATCTTATGTTTCTTAAATTTAAGTAAACTCTATAGTTAGATTAAAATCTTGGTCACAGTATCTTGGAAGTCTTCTGTGAAGAGGCTAAGAAAATAATACCTGCAAATAAAACAGCTTTCTGGAAAACCTGCTTATTTAGTTCACCTCTTCTAACAATTTCTTAGGGGAATTGTTACCTGCAAACACAGTCTGCATCCTTCACTAAATTTAACCTCTTAGCTTAGTGTGGCAATGAGGTAGCACTCTTGCAGCAAAGATATAAAATATTTTAGCTCTGCCTCCTAGATTCTCCTGGTTTGTCAGATGGTAAAACTTCTCTCCATTGTTAGTTGGAGCTCTCAGTCTCTCGTCTTCATGGTCTGCAAGCTGCTGTCGTCATGGTTCCAGCATCTGTCCTGAGCAGCAACGTGACTGTACTGATCTTCAGCCTCTGCTGTATCACAGCTCTGACTTGGAGAATTTTGCTGGGGCAGAGCTTGTTGTACATACTATGATTGTTCTCATATTTCTGGTCACCTTAGCAGATAATGGAGGTGAAAGAAAAATTTTCACAAGTGCTTAAATGAAGGTTTCTTTTCCAGATAATCTTCTTTTTCTTTTGAGAGTAATAGGCTCCGTATCTCTCTCTTAGTCCTTCAGCTGTGTGTCTTGCAGCATACACTTCTGACTCCTGTTCGATTTTTCTTCTTTCTGCCTTTTATCCTTAGAAGAATAAAACCACTTTTTTCTTCTCCTGCCTTTATTTTTTGCCAGTTGTTAATGGTGGTCATGAATATAAATGATTATTAATATAGTCAGAATCCCCACAGTAAACATTCTTGAACTTCTTCCCAGTTCCTTAAACTGAGGGGTGAGCTCAAGTGGTAGAAAAATGCTGTTGTTCCTCCTGCGTGAAGCACTATGAGCCCATAAATTACTCTCTTGATAAGAGTTATCTACAAGACCTGGTGGCTTTTCTTTGTGGGAGGCAGTGAACAGTAATAAGGTGAGGTGATTCAGACTAGAGGCAAACATGCTTCTTCATGCCAGGGGATAAGTCAGGCCTTCCAGAAGGTTGGGGAAGAATGACACATGCAAACTCTTCCATACCTGTTTTTGTGTTACGGTGCTTGCTAGTTGAAGCAGTGTAGGTCTAAGCAGGACCTATGTATTTGTGCTGGTGAATCTGATTTCTCTACATGTAGTCTCGAACAACTGCCAACCTTCCCACCCCAAAACCCGTGTCAGGGTACCCAAATGTCTCAGTTGAATTGCTAGTAGAATTGGCAACTAGGGTAGCTATGAGGTGGAGTTTGAGAATGGGTTTAAAAAAAACAAAAACAAACGTCACTGAAAGACCACACCCTGGTGATTCCTTGCCAAAGGTTACAGTCACTCTGCTGCCTCACAATGTTCTCTCTCAAAGCTAATGGCTGTACATAGGCATACATAATTTTCAGTGTCAATTGTTGATAGTGACTAGTCATATAATTGAAAGTATGTGGCCAAACTTCGCAAAAATGTTCTTCAGTAACAAAGAAGCTGGTTTTTTTTTTTTCCCTACTGCATGTAGTTACTATATAAAGTGATCAAGTACTATGTTAACTAGACCTGACTCTTCTCATTCTATTGCTAATAAAACTCTTTTAATTCTAGATTTGGATATCAAAACATCAGGGACTGGCTGCGTGAAGATTCAGAAAATAGAATGTGATAACTGCAAAATAGAAACGGAGAAGGGGACTAGTGTCTTGCAGTCAATAAAGGTACAAAGAACCCTCCTCCACTCCATCAGTGTTTTAAAAGGGATTGTGTGGTGGAATATAGTATAAAAACTTAAATACCAGTTCTGGAGATGAGAAGTACTCTGATATTTCTAAGCGTTACTATGTTTGTAGCACCTCACCTTTACTTATTGCATACAGTAACAACACAAAATCAATAACACTAAATAATATGGAGTCAGAAGTCCAGGTACCTTTGATGATAGCCAAAGCCAGCAGAAACATTGACAGCAGCAAGTGTGATATCAGCCCTCCCCCCTGCCCCTCAAAAAAAACCCCAAAAAACCACCAGTCTGGGATTTCCTGTCTAATAGGTTAGTAGTTATGCTTGCTCAGTTGGCACTTTGCAGTATGCTGCTTTTTTTTTCTTTCCTCCTTTTATAATTCTGTCAGTGCTATTGATAAATTCTTTAGGTTAATTTTCAATCAGAAGTTACACATTACATGTCCAAAATAACTGACTGAATTATATCTTTATATATCATGTTCATGACCTTCTTTTTTCAGTCTTAAGACTTCAGGTTTGGTGAGGTATACTTTGATTATTTCTACAAAAGCTTGTCTGACTTAGGTGCTGTTTGGAATCAAATTTCACTTGAATAATTTGGATTGTACCCCCAGGAATTAGTATAAATTCAAAAGAAGGGCTTTTCAAATGGAGTAAATCCTAAGTTCAAGTATTTCTGACAAATGAAAAATCTTTCAATGTTTTTCTCTACCATGGTAAGAGATGATTTTATAGTGTACATATAGGAAACTGAACTTAAGGGGAAATTTAATATACAGTAGAGCTAGGTTTACTCCATATTTGGTGAACTACAGACAACTTTTATCTTCCACATTCTGTGTAACTGACCATATTACTCTTAAAAAGGTAACTAAAATCTAACAAAAAGTTAATAGTACTATATGTGATACTGCTGTCTAAAACTTTGGTTAAAAACTACTCTTACATAATAGTAACAGCAAATAGCAATACACGAAAAACTACGCAATACAAGAAAACGAGGTAGTTTTGGCCAGCAATAGTGATGGTAATCACAGGGTACTATCGCAATTGTCAAAAATGTTTTCCAATGTCATGGAAGAAGAGGATTTTGAGGAAAGACAACTAATTTCATGGACATCTTTTCTGATATACGATCTGAGACGTGAAAAATGTTGACTTTTAAAACTGAAAAAGTAATTTCTGTTTTCCTTAGGACTTCAAGTAACAATGAAACAATACTCTCTAATGAGCTGAAAAGAAGGCTGCAAAGTCACCAGTTTGGGTCTTATGAGACCAACTCCTCCATGGCCTCATTATGGTTTAGGGGAGCTTGGTGTCGCTTTTTTCGTCTGTCAGCTTTGAGCCTTGCTTGATTCACAGAAAAATCAGGAAAACTATAAGTGTAGAGAAAAAAAAAAAAATCCTTCCCTTGTGCACACGCCTCAATGTGTCTACTACATTGGTGGCCACAGGAAGCTTCTTTGCTCCATTAAACCTTAGATGAGACAAGTGGCCTTGTCACAGAAGGCACATTTAAAGTATCAAGAAAGAACTGCAGATTTCAACTGATACTCTTGATAAAACAAAGCTTTGGTAGATTATAAGGCTTTGGCTTGTTTAAACTGAAATAGTTAACTGAAGTATTCTTTTGTGTTGTGAGTGGTGATTGGTTGTCTTAGGTTACTGTGATGGCTTCAACATACAGTACTAGAGAAGCTATGTTACCACTGTTTTGTTGACTCTGAAGTAGTGAGATGAAGGTTTTGAATTAAAATTACTGACCACGTAGGTGTTTGCAAGAGCAAAAAATTGTTCAGTTACGGTATCTCTTAACAGTACCATCAGTCTTTAGTCTAATGTTTTTAAGAGGTATTGTAGTTCTAGCAAGGCAACTATAACTCATTTTTTCTAATATAGATTCAGGAATTATATTCTGTATTAGCAGAGGAGCAGAGTTATTAACCTTTTGGGTTTTTTCAAAGCTACTGAAAATCTCATATGCTAGATTCTGTGGTGCAGCACAAGAGCAGAATCCCCTTTATGGAATGTGCTTTACTGAGCAAACTGAAGTGATGCTGCCCTCCCCTGGAAGAATTAGAGCTGTGTAATGCTGTTTCACTGTCACACTGTCCACAAACCTCATTGACTAGCAAAGGAGGACACCCTTTCTTTACAGTAGAGAGCAAAAGATTGTTGATCAATGACTTTAAATAGATAAAAGATCTGGTCATGTGAGCATTATTCAGTGAGCAGCTTCACAACTGCTAATTCTCTTAACTTGCCACAGACTGCAAGAAGTTGTCATAACTTGCTCATTTTGGTATACTGTGTGGTGTCTTTACAGAAGACCTAGAAATTTGATATCTACTTAATCATGCATGCTAGTAACTGAACAGGAAAGATGAGTGTTCTGTATGAGTTCTTTTTTAATGAATTTTGACTGGCACTTTTGGTGTGGTAGGCATTACTGTCGTAGATCCTGAATTAGGATCCTGCCAACTACGCCAGTTTGTTGCGAATGGGAGATGTAGATCGCTTAAAGAACGACTGTCAAAGGTGTTAGCAAAAGTGATTTTAATATGATGTTGTAAAAGTGCAACTTAACAAAGTTTGATGGCAAGGTTTCCTCTAATTACTGCATGGAAAAACATACAAAGGAAAATTGAGTTACGCTTGAGTTAGAATGATTCACAAAGGGACCGAGGACACAAAGGGTAAGGACGACTCTCCTGTTGAGTCTTGAGGTTCAGAGTGGACCCCCTTGCTCTATAAACTCCTTCTCAGAGAGGAGTCTAAATGTGGCTAGGTCCCAACTTAGTCTCAGACTTGGTAAACAGTTTATGTCTAAAGGATTATATATGCAAGGTTTATGTAATGTTTCATTAGTGTTAATTCAGCATACAATCAAAGTAACCAAGGCAAAATCGAAGTTATGCTACAGGGTTATGCATGATATCGGTCGCTTATCAAAGATCTGCCGTTGGTAAAAGGTCTCTCAGCCTTGAGGAGCAACCTTGAGAGGTGTCCCAGCTCAAGAGATCGCTGCCATGCTGCCTGGCAGGGAGAGCGTGAAGAAGGCTCCCTTAGGCTCTCATGTTTGTAAAGTGGTTGGCTTGTAGTCAAATTTCATGCAATGGAAAAGGTATATATGAAACTCCCTGTACCCACAACTTTCTTTGTTCCTTGATAAATGAGTCTTGCAAAAGCCACCTGCTAGTCATGTGTTAATCACGTGATTGGTGTTCCAAGCTCACTGTGTCACTCTGCTCCTTTGTGGGTTTTCAGAGAATGGATTGAAACTAGAGGGATTCGCAGCCCAGTTACTGCTCAGGCCTTTACCTCCTCCAGAGCCTGCACCAGACTACCACTATTCTGGTCAAGCGGTCGAGTGCACCTATCACAACTATCCAGCCAGTGAGATTTGTTGAGAGTTGTTTTATTGAGATTTTTTTTTAGTGGTTGTTGTTTTGTAGTGGGCTAAAGCTCAGTTCACCCTATCTCTTCCAAGTCTCTAGGTCAACTGATAGTAGCAGTAATTCCAGAATACAGTTATAACTTCTAGGGCTTCCTCAGAGTATAAATTATTCCTGACTTCTTTATTGAGAAAGCAGTGTTTATTTTTTTTTCCCTGCTTCTTATTGTAGTCCATCAATTTAGCAGTGACAGTGGGACCAGGAGACCCTTTAATTTTGCTTGTGTTCAACAATTACTTCTGACTCCTCGACTGTGCAGTGATAATAAGAATTTCCAGGTGTCCCACGCACAATAAGTGGAAGACCTGATGTGCTTCCTTACCACACACCATGTCTGAGCCTGATTTGTTAAAGTCCTGCACCACTCTGTCCTTCCTTTCTTAGAACTGAACAAATGTTTCTGTTTTTCTTTTAACATCTGTCATGGCCTTGACAACCTTTTACCTCTTCCTTACTCAAACATTTCTTCCTTGCTAGGAGAAGCCCTGTAACAAATTAGTGCTTCTTACTTTCAACTAGTAGAACTAGTTGACTGTTATTACTTGCTTCCTCTCTCAGCAAATCCTGTCTCTTAGGTGTCTCCATTGATACCTTCCTCTGAAAGCCTGTTTGTTTTGTTGTGTTTTTTTTTAAAAAGGTTAGGGATACCCTAATAATTCTGGGGAAAAAGTTGAGGGACCTGTGTCTTATGAAAGCTTTTTCTATCCCAAAAATGATAGAGTAAATAAAAAAAATTAAAAAATTGAGGACATAAGTGTTTAGGTTGTGGTTTTATTTTACTTAACTGGCCATACTGGTAAGTCCTTGCTATACATTAATTTTTCTGATCTTATGAGTTCCCATATTTTCCTCGAGCTATATGCTTTGAGGGTTTGCTTTTTAACCATTATTCTGATAATGTGACTAATATAACTTCCTCAAAGGAACTGTGATATCTGGTTGAAGCACCTAATTTAACTTTATCATCAGATAATTAAGCTGAAGCATCTAACTTAACTTTATCCTCTTTACTGTATATGGAGAGAAGAATCTATTATATTTGTATAGAAGCTTAAATGAACAGCCGAGTTATTTACAACGTTTAAAAGGTCTTGAGACTACAGTAGTGCTTCAATTAGGGGCATTTCATTTTATTGTGGGGAAGCCCTTTAAGTGGAGAAAGCAAGACTTGGGTACGCAAAGAACTACTGATTCTTGATGTTTCATCAGAAATATGTTGGAGCACTATAACTCCATGTTTACCATGTTGGAAACTTGATTTCATATATTATTGGCTTTTTTAAAGTCCTTAATCTTGTTGCCATCTGATTAGACCTAGTTAATGGAATTTATTATGGCTTATCCAGGCAGGTGTTTAATAATCTAAATATCTTGAATATTTCCGATATGCGTAATTGTCCAATTAATGGAAGATGTCCTAAATTAAATACCATCTACAGGAATAATACCATTTTCAACAGAAATGAATATATCTGAAAATGTAGGCACTGGTACAGGGAAACAAAGGGTATGTGTATGTTGAAGGGGAAGCTTATCCAGCATTAAGTATAAAAAATGCTGAATTTTTTTTTTTAATTCTGTGTTATTCCAACATTCATGCTAGTAAACTTAAGTAAAAGAGCTTTCCTGTTGAGATCCATAGACTTCTTAAAGATTTGTTGAAGTTACAGTTTAAGAATACAGTTAGATTATTTAAATCTGTCTTTTAAATTATTTTTTTTCTTTTTCCCTTCTCCCTTCTTGCAATAGGTTGGTTTTTACTCTCAAGACCTGTTTTGGGGTTTTTTTTTTGTCTTTCTGAGATTGGTTTTGTAATTTGTGGTAGGTCTTTTATTTGATATAATTTAGCTACATGTCCCTTTTTGTGTATATTTCTGTATTAATTTTTTCTTTTTCTCATCAATTGTATGCAGCAACTGAAAGGTATAAGGGCTGTAGCATTTCTTACTTGAAATCTGGTTTATTTGTGTTAGAATCTCAAGTTTTTACATAGATGTATGCAAAATACCTAATTTGAATGAGAATCTGGTTCTACTCACAGGCCTAAGGTTTATACTGGGATGCATCCATAGAAGTTCATGGCTATACTTACTACTCCAAGTGTAAGTAGCTCTGTGGTATGTTTGTGTATATATACGATTTTCCTACAGAGTTCTGTGACACTGTAGGTTCCAGGTCACTGGAAGGCTCCAGTTTGTGAGTTAGTTTCTCACTGCCAGCTCCTGTTTCTCATCTGCTGCAGCACTGAGTACATGTATACCTCGGTTTCTGGATGGACTATAAATGAAATACAAAGTTTCCTCCTTCTTCCCCTGCTGCTTATTTTAATATATACTGAGTGAATGTTTTTCTAGTTAAAAAAACCCAAACAACAAAAAACTATAAAACCAAACCAAACCCAAAAAACTCAGCTGTCTTGAGAATAGAGTTCCTCAGTATCATTTTTTCCCTTGTGTTTCTGGCTACAAAGAAAGGTAACTTGTTTTGAGTTTGACTCTACTGGAAATAAACAGCACATTTGGCAATCATGTGAAGAAACCTTCACAGTAAAATGGAAGTTTGTGATCCAGGGTGGCTATTGTGGTACAGCTTGAAAAACAAGATAACCTGTTTTCTAATTATGATTATCCTAACCATATGATTTTTAAACTTTTTTTTCAGAGCCACAAAATTGATATACGAACAAACGGTGGCAAAGTAATTGGTCTTGGAACACTTTATGGAAATACAGATATTCATGCAACAGAGAAGGGTGTAAGTAAGAAGTAAAACTTTTCCTCCAATGGCTTGTTCAGCTTGTCTGCTGCAAAATGACTTAAGTTTTGAAGTATAAGTGCTGAGGAATATTTAATGAGCCTCATTGGTTGATTGTCATTTCACTGTTAACTTACACTTGTCTGTTTAATTACACTGTCTTACCTTATGCTTGGTTTGGGTTAGTAAACAGGCTCCACAGAAAGAGCAGTAGTAAGCATGTGATCATTCCATTGGCACAGAGCTGATACAACTCATCATCTCTAATTACATAGACCCTTGCAGCAGTCTTAAACTTTTTACTTGGCTGATATCTAGGCACCTGGATTCTGCAATAGTGGCTTGATATTTGTACATGCTGTATGATTCCAGCTTTATGTGGTTGTAAGAACTGAAGAGTAGAAGGTTTTGAATATTTCTTTGCAGCTGAGAAAATATGATCACATGTGATCTTGTTAAAAGATGCAGTGAGAAGAATCATGAACAGGACAAGTTTCATAGAGAAGTAGCTTGCTTTTTTCAGCAGATGGCAGTATGAGACAAACCTCATACTGCTCAAATCTGGTTTTGTTTCTTGCCATTAGTCAATCCTTCATTGTTCAAGGTAATATAGAGCTAGGCTCCCTTACATAATACTACAGTTTTCACACCCATTCTGGTTCTTAGACTTAACTTGAATGCTTAGTCATCACAAATGTCATAGAATCACAGAATGGTTTGGGTGGGAAGGGACCTCAAACATCATCTAGTGCCAAGCCCCCTGCCATGGGCAGGGACACCCTGCACTAGACCAGGTTGCTTGAAGCCCCATCCAACCTGGCCTTGAACACTTCCAGGGATCGGGCATTCACAGCTTCTCTGGGCAACCTGTTCCAGCACCTCACCACTCTCACAGGGAAGAATTTCTTCCTAATACCTAATCTAAATCAACCCTCTTTCAGCTTAAACCCATTACCCCTTGTCCTGTCACTCCATGCCCTCGTAAACAGTCCCTCTCCAGCTTTCCTGTAGGCCCCTTCAGGTACTGGAAGGCTGCTCTAAAGTCTCCCTGGAGCCTTCTTTTCTCCAAACTGAACAATCCCAACTCTCTCAGCTTGTCCTCATAGGAGAGGTGCTCCAGCCCTTTGATCATCTTCGTGGCTTCCTCTGGACTTGCTCCAACAGCTCCATGTCTTTCTGGTACTGGGGCCCCCAGAGCTGGATGCAGTACTCCAGGTGGGGTCTCACCAGAGTAGAGTAGAGGGGCAGGATCACCTCCCTCGACCTGCTGGTCATGCCTCTTTTGATGCAGCCTAGAATATGGTTGGCATGTCCATGCAACTGGTTGCATTAGGATTCATTAGATCTGAGGTTTTGCTATATGAAGATAGGGAACTAAGCCAAGTCTGGAAGGAGCTTGAATGCATGCAGTATTCTGTCATGATCATTAGGTACCCTTAAAACCAGCAGTGTTGGAAAGACTCAGGAGGAGTGCATGTAACTCTCCCTAGCCAACATTAGAATTAAGACCAAGTTGTTCTAGGAGTCCAAAATTGCCTCTGTGAAGTGCCATTTGGCACCGTTGTGCACCTTGCAGATTATGTTCAGAGATCATATGGTTGCTTACATAGAACCAGCTACGAGCTGTTAACATCCTGCTGTAAACTAAGCAACTTGCCATTGGATTTTGCAAAAATGGTTAACATTAAATTACCTGCATTTCTTTGTAATAGGTGCTAGCCTGCCTCTTATATACAAGAGAGTCCTGAGGCTGCTGTAGCTGTACTATTGGTATTTCTTCATGAACATTATTTCATTCCAGCAAGACCTCCCAGCATAAAGCTGTGGGGAAGGTCTGACTGTGACATGCTGTGTTGATGCCACAGTTGGACTGATTGGTACTAATTGATTGGCAGTTCTCTTGAATTATTACTAGTTAGTGGAGTTAGGATCCATCCTAAGCCGCTAGCAGCCACAGGGAATGGAAGAGGGCAGAGGTACTCTACAGCTTTCTTGATGTGTCGTCCACCTTCCTGCAGAGGGCTTCTGTTGAAAGGATCTGAAAACTGGAATCCTTGCTTTCTACGAGTGAGTAGGATTAAGTGCAATCTAGGAAGTGCTTTAACCACTGTGGATTCATGCTGTTTACAAACATACTAGCACAGTGGTGGTCTTTAAATTACAGTTGTGCTGCTTAGTCATTTGTCCCAAACTAGTTTGTTAGACTAGTGTGGTCCATGGAGTTCATTTTAAATAACATCTTGCTAGTGTTGATAAAAACAAGTGGATGGTAGAAAAATAATTAGATCTATATCTATGTCAAAATTTAGTTCATGAAAATGAGAAATGTAGTTGTTTTGCTTTGAGTCTCAACTCAGAGTTGCGGTCAATGACTCCATGTCCAAGTGGAACCAGTGATGAGTGGCGTTCCTCAGGGGTCAGTACCAGGACTGGCACTGTTTAACATCTTTGTTGGTGACATGGAAAGTGGGATTGAGTGCACCCTCAGCAAGTCTGCTGATAACACCAAGCTGTGTGGTGGCTCTGCATGCTGGAGGGAAGGGATGCCATCCAGAGGGACCTTGACAGGCTTGAGAGGTGGGCCTGTGCGAACCGCATGAGGTTCAGCAAGGCCAAGTGCAAGTGTCTGTACATGGGTTGGGGCAATCCCAAGCACAATTACAGGCTGGGTGGAGAGTGGATTGAGAGCAGCCCTGAGGAGAAGGGCTTGGGCATGTTGGTAGATGAAAAGCTTGACATGAGCCGGCAGTGTGTGCTTGCAGCCTAGAAAACCAACTGTGTCCTGCCATCAAAAGAAGCATGATCAGCAGGTCAAGGGAGGGGATTCTGCCCCTCTACTCCGCTCTCATGAAACTCCATCTGGAGTACTGCGTCCAGCTTTGATGTCCCCAAAAGTTGTAAAGCTTTAGTAACTTGAGTGGTGAGTCATTTTAACAGAATTTTACAACTATAGAACAATATTTTTGCTTATGTTATTAACTTCTTATTAACAAACTTTGCTGTGTAGTTAGAAAGGATAGTGTGAGATCTCTTTTCTCAGTTGGCTGCTGTACTGGTTTTGGCTGGGATAGAGTTAATTTTTTTTCCTAGTAGCAGATATAACACTGTGTTTTGGGTTTAGCATGAGAATAGTGTTGATAACACACTGAGGTTTGTAGTTGTTGCTAGGCAATGTTTGTCGGAAGTTAGGGACTTTTCAGCTGTTATTTTCGTCTTAATGCCCTGCCAGTGAGGAGCCTGGTGGTGCACAAGAAGCTGGGAGGGGACATAGCCAGGACAGCTGACCCCAACTGGCCAAAGGGGCCATACCATATGAAGTCATGCTCAGTATATAATTTGGGGGAAGCTGGATGGGGGTTTAGACCATGACTCAGGAACTAGCTGGGCATTGGTGGTCTGCAGGTGGTGAGCAGATTTTCTGTGCATCACTTGTTTTACATATTCATCATTATTATCATTATTACCATCTTCCTTTTCTGTCATATTAAATTGTCTTTATCTCAACCCATGAGTTTTACTTTCTTTTTTCCTGATTCTTTCCCCCGTCCCACTGGGAGATGGGAGTGAGTGAATGGCTGTGTGGTTGTGTTAGCTGCCTGCTGGGTTAAACCGTGGCAGCCACTTCTGTTAATAATCGGCCAGCCTTACATCTCCTGTGTGTTTGTATGAGATGTTTCTTCCATCAGTTGTAGTCATCATTATGTAATTATGGCTCTGTCAGCGTTTCCAGCCCCCTCCTGGAGATGGGGAGGGAAAGGATGTGGTAAAAGACACTAAGCACTTGAGAAACAGAGAATATGTTTAAGGGGAAAAATAGAGAAGACACTCATAAAATTTTTGAGCAAGAATAGCACAAAAAGGAAGGCCAAGACGAAGAATATGTAGGGAAGGAGTTGTTTATGTCGTATTTTAACGTAGCAAGATATTAGTTTCAGGTGAAAATGTGGGTGCAGAAACATTTTCAGTCTGATTTATGAAGATAGACACTTTTTCTTTAAACTGATAGAACCTGAGCATGTGGTCAGTCTCAGTCACTGCAACTCCCAAGACTCCGCTCTTAAGGGAAGGGATTTTTCCAGAAAACCTAGTGGTTCAATGGACAAAAATAAATTGGTTTGACTGGGGAATCATTAGCTAATCTGTGCCACAGGGACTTTTCTGTAGCACTTATTTTGCAGAGCCAAACATCTATGTTCTGCCAAAAATTCATAAAAGTTAAAGAATTTGGGCTGAAAACATATTTAGTCTTAGTAAGAAGCAATCCTATTTTTTTCCATGCTTTCCCTATCTAGAATACTTTTTTTTAGTCTTATACTTGAGCAGTCTGACTTTCTCCTTCTCCCCCAAGGTTTGGATTATTCTGAAACAAATGTTCAGTGTATTGATAGTTTGGGGGTTTTGGTGTTTCATTTTTTCTTCATAGTAACTAGCTAACTCAGTACTTACTTTTATCATGTGCTGAGACAACTCTTTTTATTTCTGTGCATTTTTAAGAAAGATGGTTGAGGCTGGTATCTAAGAAGAGGTGGTATGTGACCTTGTTTATAATAAGGTACTTCATAATATTTTAATAAAATTAATATCTAAATACTGTAAAAACTTGCATACCATGGTAACAGATGTAGCTTTTTGGGCTTTCCTCTTCCAGTTCA